CATGAGCTACGACTAATTACCTTCAAACTCAAAATGTGCCATTAACTTGAAAACTTTCACGTCACAAGTATTCTGACTACCACTCTTGGCTTACATGCTCAATAATTTGTTTTAGTATTCTTAACTAGCTTCTTCAGCCTTACAAGGTAAAATAATGTTTGCTAGAAAACTCTCACATAGAGGATATATAAGTTGAGTACACTTAGAGGAAACTACTTGCTAACACAAGGATATTCTAACTTAATCTTTTCTTTAGGATTTTCCACTAGAAGAAAGTTATAAAAGACAGAATTTTTTTATATTATAGTTTGGGCATAGCTAATGAGAACATGCATTCATAATATTCACAGAGTTTGTCTCTTCTATTTAAAGTCTTCATATATTTGTAGGCTTCAAGAATATATCAGTTGAGTGGTAGACTTGTAACTTGGTTGTTGTAGCTTGTAAACTTCGATCTTTGAATATGGTCATTCTTTTACTTGTTCAAAGCTTTATTAATGCCTTGATATGAAAAGGGATAGACAAAGCTTGGTCTGAACAAAATGCTTTATGCCCTGACAATTCCTTTTGTAGCTATCTTTTTTTTTGGATGTTGCATTGGTTCTACTTCACTATACCATTTTGTGGGCATGTATAAAAGAGGAAATAAAACATATTTGCATTTATAAATTACACAGATTATCATAGCATTTATCAACAGCTATTTTTGCACTTAAAGATGCATACTCTGGTCTCAAGATGTTGGATGTTGGATGCAAATGTTGACTAGACTAATTAACTAAGTGTTTTACTTGTTCATTTAGGCTTTTGTAGATGATAGTTATTCATCAAAATCATTTTTGTTCTTCATTTCTTCTATTTTTTGGATGCCTGATTCCTGAAATAACTTCGACAATTATTACTCTATCAAGGTTAAGACTTTGTTATCATCAAAACTGACATATTATATGTATATTTCATCTTAGGTTTAACAATCACTTAAGAGATATTTTTGTTGGAAGGCATTTGTACATGTTCCAAAGGATGAGAGATCAAAGTTGGAAGGAAAAACAAGGAAATGTATCTTCATTGGCTATAGTGATGATAAATTTGGCTATAGATCTTATGATCCTGTTGAGAAGAGACTTGTGAGAAGTCATGATGGAAAATTCATGGAAGACCAAACCATTAAAGACATTGATAAGGTGGAGAAGTCTACACCTTAGGAAGATAGCGGTGTGGTTCATGTTGATCCAATCAGTTTCTTATTCATAATATAGATATTGATGTTTATAATGGCGAGAAACATTTATAAAGATAAGGTAGATGTTCCTATTGATGATGTTAATTAGAACGAGCATAAGATGTCATGGGATGAGAATCCTAGTGATGCACCTAAGTCACCGCCAACCTAACTTAGGAGGTGTAACAAGTGAAGATAATCATCTATGAGGTACTCCTTTGATGTGTATGTGATATTGGCAGATGGGGAGAACTTAAGTGTTTCATACAGGCCATAGAGAGTGAACAAAAGAAAAAATGTTGCATGTTATAAAGGGTAATATGAAATATTTGCATGATAACCACACTTTTGATTTGATGAAGTTTCCTAAGAGTAAGAAAACCTTGGATAAAAGGTGGATCCATTAGGTGAAACATTAGAGTAACTCTACATCTCTAAGGTATAAAGCCATATTAGTAGTGAAAAACTTTAGATAAAGAAAGCATGTTGATTTTAATGATATTTTTAACCTATAGTGAAAATGACATCCATTATAATCAAGTTGATTTTGGTTGTTACTCTTAATATATAGAGATATCACAAATGAATGTGATGATTATTTTCCTTCATGGTGATTTGGAGGAAAATATCTATAAGAAGCAACAAATTATTTTTCTTGTTAAAGGTAAGGAAGATTGTGTGTAGAATGAGGAAAAGCTTATACGGCTAGAAGCAAGCCTTGAGGTAGTGCAATTTTACAAGAAGAATACTTATAATTGTTCTTACCGGAGATCTGTCGTAGGGGACGATCTGCTGGGTAAGATCGGCGAGCCTCCTTCACTGGTACGCTTGTCACTCCAAGATGAGGGTGATACCTGAAAAAGAGACTCCGATGCTAAAGTTAGTGTTTGTGGGAGTATGAGTCTCGTATAAGTAATGCACGTACCTTTGTGTGGATTAGGGTTTTGTTGGGCCTTGGGCTTGAGATCAGTTATGACCTATTTAGGTAGCGAACCTCGTCTTGGTCGAGGTCGCCCAGCGCGTGTCTGAGGTCGTCCTGCGCTGTGATGCTGAGCTGGAGCTCGGATTTGCAGTACGGATAGTGCACTAGCCCCCCGAGCTCTGAAGACCGTTGGTCGAAGAGATAATGCCGAGCTCGGGAGGGAGTCGTGACTCTTCGCGTACGCTTCCTTGCTATACTACCATGTGTCATAACTGTCACCTCGTTTCCATAACGCGTGGGTGGCGCGTTAATGGGGGGTGACGGTTGTGTAATGATGGGCGTGTTCTGCCATGAAGGGCCTCATTAATGTGTCGTCAGTTTTGTCTTTCTCTCTCTCCACGTGTCATGCCCGTTTTGAATTTTTGGGAAACTCCTTTTCTCTCTCTCGCGCGCCTTCTCCCCTTCACTTTACTTTTTCATTCCTTTTCTTTCTTGGCTTCTTGTGCATGTCGATTGGCATTCTACCTTTCCTCGTTTCCGTTTGCTTCTGTCATCACTGTTTCCGGTAACCCAGTTGTCGTTAAGGTTGTTTTCTGAGGAAGAGTACCAGGTACTTCCTTTCTGTTGTCTTCCTTCTCATTCTTCTTCTCTGTCATCTCTCTTCTCGAGCCTTTTTGCTTTCTTGATGGTTGGAGAGAGTGGTGCCGCATCTTTCGCGCCGGCCAAAGGTAAAGGCAGGGCGCGCGCCAAGGGGTGGCCCCCGAGGTGGCTGCCGCCGAAAAGAAGAAGGGGGGAACCAACCCAAGGAACCCCCTTCCAGCATCCCTGGCTATGAGTGGGTCAGGAGTGAGGTGGGGGAATTCCAGAGTGTATTTAGGTTGTTCATGGAGATCAATGCGATGCAAAAATCGCATAGGATCTGTGACTCTTCCGTTTCCAAGCTTATCCGGCTCGAACCTTGTCGGCCCGATGAGCGTGTCTATATGGGGGGTCCTTCTGAACCTCCTTTCTTCTATATGTACCAGTGCTTTTTTAGGGATTTGGGCGTGTGTCTTCCCTTTTCTCAATTTGAATGTGATTTTTTGAATTTCATCAACTCGGCACCTTGTCAGTTGCACCCCAATAGTTGGGGTTTTTTTAGGGCTTTTCAGGTCCTGTGCTCGACCCTAGGGATAGGGTTATCTCTTCCCTTTTTTCTTCATTTTTACCAACTGAATTTGGGCGTTCCCCCCTATGGTTTGGTGTCTCTGAATGGGAGTATAGCTGGGGGCCTATTTTCTCTTTACTCCCAATCGTACAAAAATTTTAAACAAGAGTTCTTCTGGGTGGCGCTTAAGGAGGTCGACCCGCTGAAGGATGAGGTGTTCTATTTCGGCGGGTTGCCGAAGTTCCCCCTATACTGGCGGCCAGCCCCGGCCAGATTTAACGGGTCGGCTAACCTTCAACTGATGGCGTCAGACCTTGCTGCCATCGCCGACCTAGAGGCGCTCCCTCATCCCTTGGATTGCAAGCTCGTGTTGTCGCTTGCTAACTCGGTGTGCAAGGAGAGGGGCCTAGAGAGTGAGTATCTGTCTTTTTTAGCTGTTAGGATTTGTAAAAGTTTCTTTTACTGACATATCCCCTTCTTGTATTTGCAGGCATAATGGGCAGGAGCAAGTGGCGAGAGCTGAAATCTCGTTACAATGTTGTCGAGATCGAGGTCTCCGAGCCTTAGGAGGAGGAGGATGCCCCCGTGGAGACCGCTGAAAAAGAAAGAGGGTAGAAAAGGAGGTTGGGGGGACCTCCGCCCCTCGTGATGTTGAGGAGGTGACCTCTAAGGTTGCCGATGCTGACGTGGTTGACCTAACTGGGGGTTCTTCACCCGAGAGAGCTCCTCAGGTGGCTACCGATCGAGGAGATCACCCAGGCCGTTGAGCAGGTTGCCCAGGCCACTGAGGTTGGTGCCTTTCTTTGTGGTTTTCCTCCTATACTGCTCTTTTCTTGCTTGCTGACTTAGGAGGAAATTTGTATTTTTTGTAGGTGAGGCATGCTATCGAGGTCCCAGTGGCTCCGAGTTTAGAGGTACCAGGGGCGGGTGCCTCCGTGGTTGAGCAAGAGATGGCCGCCTCTGCTTCTGCTGAGGCCCGCAGAAAGGGGCCAAGCTCCGAGGTCCCAAAACCTACTCCCGCGACCTCGGCACCGTCGTCTAGCCCGTCGAAGGGACCCCCCAAAAGCCAATACCTCGCCCATCACTTCGGGAAGGATCGTTCTCGGGTGCAGCTGGATCATATGAGCGCTTCGGAGGATATAGATTCTCTTTGGAGTGCGGGGGTGACCTCGGAGAAATTATTCTCCAAGGAGTCGCTGAGTACGGCTGATAAGGCCATGATCGAGTCGGTCGGGCCTGTGGAAGGCCTTGATTCTGCTAAGGTCTTCTTGCAGAGGGTGATGGCCATCGTGGATCATTGGAAGCATAAGTGGTCCAAGCAGTAGGAGGATCTGGCGAAGCTGAGGGCCCGAATCCAACCTTTGTAGGAGGAGAATAAGGCCCCGAGGAAGGAGAACAAGGCCTTGGCAGCTGCTCTCGGTGATGCCAAGCTGCAGAATGAGGCCGAGCTCCAAGCCACCAGGAGGGAGCTGGAGAGAGTTTAGAAGTCCTTAGAGATTGCTCTAAGGTCTAATGAGACTCACGCTGCCCAAGTGACTGAGCTGCAAAAACTCGCCAATTCTTCCCGGGGTCGAGTGCGTTCCTTGGAAGACGAGGTAACCACCCTCAAGGCTGATCTGGTGGCGGCGGCCGAGAAGTGCCTTTGTTACGAGGTTTTTCTTGGTGGGAAGGAATAGGAGGTCGCCGCTCTAAAGGTGGACCTCGCGAAGATGGCTACGGCGAAGGTGGAGCTGGAGAGGAAGCTCGAGGGAACTGAGCGAGCTATCCTGTACGAGCACAAGAAGGGATTCCTCAAGGAAGCTCGTCAAGCGAGGCTACTTGCGTCGGGGGTCGACCTCTCCGCTATGCATGTGGAGAAAGAGGTGCGCCTTGGGAAGCTGGTGAAAGAGGACGACCTCCCGGACAACTCAAGCGAGAATGCCTCTAGCTAGGCCGATTTTGTAATAGCTTAGTGTATTTTGTTCTTATTTTTTCCTTCATTTGAATTCATGTGGTGAACTCTATAAACATTGTTGTGTATATAACATTTTCCGAGATTTCGTCCTTGCATTTGTGATGATTTTGTTAGACCTTTTCGCTCATGTGTTATGCTTAGGTTTCGCCCGTATTTGTGGTTTGAGGGCTCGATTAAACTTGACTTAGTTTAAAGCGATTTACCTCTAGGTTCGAATTTGATCTCTATTTGAGGTAAAAAAGTCGTACGAAGGTTCGAACTCGACTCTTAATAAGATGGAGCAGTTTGATGCTAAGGTTCGGACTCGACCTCAACATAAAGTGAGATGATTTTGTTTCTAAGGTTCGGATTCGACCTCAACGTAGAGTGAAGTCACTGGTGCTAAGGTTCGGACTCGACCTCAACCTAAGGTAAGATGAATCGTGCTAAGGTTCAATTTCGACCTTGGCCTACAGTAAAATGAATCGTACAAAGGTTCGAACTCGACCTCGGCTTTGAGTAAAACAAAACGTACTAAGGTTCGAACTCGACCTCGACTTTAAGTAAAGAAAAACACATCGAGGTTCGTACTCGTCCTCGGCTAAGAGTGAAATAAGTCGTGCCAAGGTTCAAACTCGACCTAGGTCTTGAGTGAAACAAAACACACCGAGGTTCGAACTCGACCTCGGTTTTAAGTAAAGTGCACCAAGGTTCGAACTCAACCTTTGCTTAGAGTAAAATACATCGTATTGAGATTTGAATTCGACCTCGCAAAACATCTGATGGTAAGATAACGCAGATTTAAGGAACAATGAATAAGAAAGGAATCAGTCATTTTATTCATGTTAGGGGTGTGCCTAATAATCAATGAATACACTACAAGTCCTCTTGGAATCACCAGAGAACCAAAATATATAGAAATTGGTACCAAACACTTCTTCTCCAAAGTTGGTTACTCCACTCCTTCTCATAGAATTGATACTATTCCTTAATTGATTTGTAGGACATGAAAGCATTCCTGGAAACAAGAGTTCAGAAGATTCATCCAGTCACTTAAGTGAAGCCTCAAAAGATCAAGATAAAGGTGAAATTGCACCAAAGAAGAAGCCTTTTTGGAGTAACTGGGCTGCTATTGGTGATGTTTTCAAGGCTTCTATACCCAAACAACCTAAAACTAGCTCTTCCAAAAGTGAAAAGCAACCTGAAATTGACCTTCCTGATGAGAAACAGCAAGAGCAAATAGAGGTTAAAATCCATGAAGCTGACACAGGTACCAACGATAAACTAGTCATGTAATTAAATAAAATATGAGTAAATTATTTTACACTATAGTTTATTTTCAAGAAAACACTGCTTGGCTGATTTGATAAAAAGAATATTACCATATTGGTGTATAGTTTAGTCTTCATCTTCACGATAATTGTTCTTGGTTTCGAAGATGAGTCATAAGGGAATATGCCACAAAACTAAACATATCTAACATTCATAGAGAAATATATCAATCTACATCATCTAATCTATTGCATTGAAATGATGTTGTACCTTAATGTGTTGGCAGAACCAGCAGAAGTTGTTGCTACTGAAAGCACACCACTTATTTCGACAACTGTAGCATCAAGTAATAAGACATTGGAAATTCTTAAAAGCATTGTGTACGGTGGTTTGCTTGAATCGTTGGCAAGTCTTAGTGTTGTGACATCTGCAGCGAGTGCTGACGCTACCACATGTATGTTCCACATTTTACATTTCATTCCACATTCTTCTTTTTCTTTTTAAAATATTGCTATTTTGGTCATAAGAGGAACTTAATTGTTTATGTATACTTCAAACCATACTATTTAATTAGACTAGAGCCAATAAATATTTACGTAACCTTATAACTTGAACGTAAATTTTTTATCTGCTTTTTTAATTGTAATTTAATATTACGTATTGTCAAATGTTTACAAAATCACACATGTTTAATATTTATGAGAAAAAAAATGAAACAATTTTTTAAAACATTTTTCATAATCGACTAACAATATACTTGTTGATATACTCCTCTTAGCACACTCACTTTTATGGATTCAAATATATTGAAAACTACAAAATTATGAGAAAGAATAATTAAATAGGTTATAAATCCACCAAATTTTATATTTTTAATAAATTTTAATTAATAAAAATGTGTTTAAAAAGTGTCTACAGTATATGGCTAACATTTCTCTACTTTAAGTTTCACACATAAAGATGTCTGCAAAAGTGTTGGGAAAGATAACCAGAATAATAACAATTAAGCGGAAGCAAAATTGAATCTTCTTTTTTCCTGTATAAAAATAATAGGCTTTGGAAGCAACAAGATAATTTCAGCCGGATGCACAAAATAGAAAAATAGAAATCAAAAGGCACAAGTTTTTAACATGGAAAAACCCTCAAGGTGAGGTAAAAATCTCACGAGACCTAGTCCAATAAAAACTCCACTAATAATAATCAATGAATACACTACAAGTCCTCTTGGAATCACCAGAGAACCAAAATATATAGAAATTGGTACCAAACACTTCTTCTCCAAAGTTGGTTACTCCACTCCTTCTCATAGAATTTTTCTTCTTCTCTATTTTACAAAGAGGCACAATGGAGTAAATTATAAATGCTCTCCCTGCCAAATAAACCTTTTGAAAGCGCCCCTGATTGGTCTCTTACCAAGCCATTAACCGCCACTTGTCCAGTTGCACTCGAGGCCGGCCCAACATAATAAGGCTAGTAAGGTTCTTACCTTAGCCCTCTCAAAAAAAAAAAAAAACATTAACATCAATACTGATATAATGTTTTTTTGTAAGGTCCATAATTTTTTGGTATTATTTATACTTAAAAAATAACGACTTATTAATTTAAATTAATAAATATATCTATAAATTGATTATATTAAAGGCCCATCTCTTAAATACATCTATTTCCACCAAAATTTTTATTATCTAAATATATTAATTCTTTTTAAGAATAATTCTGACCAAAATCAGTCCAAAAGTCACTCTTTGTATTTCTTTCATTCTGATCACTCATTTCAACTCAACATCCCTCTCTTTCACAATTGACGTTCGACGCGTTCACTATTGATGCATCCTGTTTCTATTTATTTATTTATTTTTATTCTTTTATTTTATTACAATCTTAGTTCATCACTTTTTAAGAAGACAAAAATTATATCTCAAGTCCTAAGGTTACATTTTTTTCTTTTATTTTTCTTGTTGTATTTGTTGTTGTGCGGTGTTTGCAACACTCACTGAAATGTTTGTTTTTTTTAGTTTTTCTTATCTTGCAGTGTTTAAAACACCTTATTGTGAAATTGTCCTTGTGCCTTCTTTTGCTTCTAATGTGGGTATGTTTCTTTTATCAATTATATTTTTTAATTTTTAATATTGTGTTTGTATTTATACTTTTTTTTATTATTTCTTCTTTCATTTTAATCGTCTTGTTTTTGTTCATTTTAATTGTTCATATTCAAACGTAGTGGTTTACTACGTTTGTTATGCTATTGTGTTTTAGATGAAACTGGACAATATATATATTAATACTCTAATGCAAACATCTGGAACATGCTTCATTGAAGTAAATGAGTTGATACTTATTTTACCTATTCCAATTGTTTGTTCTCCTTGCTTTTCGACTTCCCATTTGTCTTTCGTTCTTCCATGGATCGTATTCTACCCCTGTAATGTTAATTGCTCAACGCAAGGGGTCAAACTCTGATACCAATTGAAGTTAGATGTGTAGACACCCAATTTCGTTCGGGGGCACACAAACAAGGACATGGATCTTTGTTACGAAGGGAAGGAGCCCCCGGAGCATGCCAACGAGAAGACAGGACTTCAGAGGGCCCAAAAGCACAAATTAAATATTTTTGTGGGCCCGGAATGGGCCGTTCCAAAATCGGAACGGACCGTTCCAAGGTCCGAAACGGGCCGTTCCGAGGCTCCCAAAAGGCCAAAAATCCTAATTTGGAACGGGCTGTTCCGAGATTGGAACGGGCCGTTCCTACATCTGGAACGGGCCGTTCCAAGGCCGTTCCAGACCAATCACGTGTGCTTATTTTGGACCCCAGAACGGGCTGTTCTGATTTCAGAACGGGCCGTTCCAGGGTCCAAATTAACCCACAACGGCCATATCCAGAATGGCCG